CCAGCGGTGTCAAGATCGTCCTCTGTGGAGGAGGCTTGTGAAGGACGCTACTGGGCAGTTAGAGGCAGATGCCCTCCAGCAACAATGGAGGGCTGATGATCGACGCTCACAACAACGAGCGGAGCAGTGGGTGGATAAATTACAGAAAGTTGGCACAGTAGGCATATGTCTGCCATCTCAGTCAGTAAACCCATGCAAAAGGTTCCCTTCTACCCTCACCCGGATGTACAGTGCGCTATACATGTGTAGTGACACAGCACAAACTACTGTCCAGCAGCGGCAGCTGTGGTGGACAGTTAGCGCACACGCCATTGAGCATATACATGGGTAGAGGAACTGGGGCAAGGCTCACAGAAGACCTCATCGAGAAGCCCCTGGAACCTGCTGTGGGTTCGAGAAAAAAGGATATAGGCAGCGGAGAGCGAGAACTGTGGGCTACCGGCTCTGGGAGTGGACTCGTCTCGTCGTCGCTGTCATCTTCGCTGCCTTCATCGCTGCCGCCTTCACTCGATAATTGCGTGACCAGATAGTTATTGGCTGTCTCGGTCGACTCCGTCAGTGTAACGCGATTGTGTCGAGCCATGCTGGTCACTCAGGCCCATCATCCGACAAGTAACCTTCGTTGCAGAGTGATGTGCAAGCGGCTTCCACCCCCTGTCACCGTGTACGTGGCCACGACAGGGAAAACATTTGGTGGGTAACATTTATCGCATGCGTGACAGCGCCGTTTCCAGGCCCGGGCCTGTCTCAGCTCGACTCGTTGACAACCCTTCGGTAACCGACCCCGAAAATCAAATTTCATGCCAGTGTGGGCTCTCTGCTTCGTAACGTGCAGAGGGACTTTGGCCCTCTTCCAGTGCGATAATCTGGCCTTGTGAGAGTATACGGAAGTCCTGGGAAGCAGAAAGATGGGTATCGGGATACCTGAAGTTGAGCTGATGGAGGCTCAGAATGATAAAGGTGCTCTGATGTCTTCTGGGTCCCAGCGCGAGGAGCCATATAGTAGAGACTGGGTATCTCCATATATATAAAAGGCAAAGTTGTGAATATGTGTCTGTTCAAAATGTTTAGCGTACTTCCCGACATGCAACAAATTGGAAATTTGCCATGTGGGTACTTTCCAGACTATACATCATGCAAAAATTCTAAAAATACACTTTTTGGGGGGAGGGAGCTCAGTAATGCATATATTTTTGCACAGCAAGTGAGCTGTGACGTCAAATCTGTCACGTGACCCACGCATGTGGAAGCGTAACGCATTGTAGTGTAGTGGTTAGGCGCTGCACTATGAATCCGGCGACCCGAGTTCGATTCCCGCTCACGGCCACCACCGGTGACGATTATTTGAACCGGTCCTGGGCCTCCCCTAGGTCGACTCTGCCTCAAACGAGTAACTGCTGTGGTGTGTGAACATCGCCACTGGGGGGACAAAGGCGGCCGGGCGTGGTGCTGTCACCCACCCCCTCGTGTACTGTTCCGGCCTTCATAGGTACTTGCTAACAGCACTTGCCCCTACAGTCTGTTAATGCTATATGGGGGATCTTTGTCTTTGGAGCGGTAGTGTAGTGGTTAGCGCGCCGCGCTATGAACCCGGCGACCCGAGTTCGATTCCCGCTTACGACCACCACCAGTGACGATTATTTGAACCGGTCCTGGGCCTCCCCTAGGTCGACTTAGCCTCAAACGAGTAACTGCTGTGGTGTGTGAGCCGTGCTGGCCTTCATAGGTGCTTGCTAACAGCACTTGCCCCCTACAGTCTCACAGGCTACATGGGGGTCTTTGTCTTTATTCTTGTGTGTGGGGAGGGCAGCGACTGCGTAGCGTTCGCGCGCTGGGCTACGAACCCGGCGAACAGAGTTCGATTCCCGCTCACGGCCACCACCGGTGACGATTATTTGAACCGGTCCTGGGCCACCCCTAGGTCGACTCAGCCTCAAAGCAGTAACTGGTGTGGTGTGTGAACATCGCCACTGGGGATGCAAAGGCGGCCGGGTGTGGTGAATCCAAGTCCCGGGCGAAGCCGGGTATTACAGCTTGTGATGTATATGAGAGACCTGTGCACTGAGGAGCCAGTCCTCGCCACCACCCTCCGTGGCTCATCACTCACGCCTACCACTTCCGTGGTAGGATTGGTCGTCACAGATTCTCCCCCAATTCCAGCCCCCCCTTCACTGCTCTTCTCTAGGTAGCTTCACAAACCCGCCACCAATCAACTTTGGTCCAAATACAGCATGGTTCACCTATAACATACCTGGCCTTCGAGACAAGCTGTGCGATGCGAATGCCCCTTCGGTCATACCTTGTCCAGGCCAATAGGATGGGCGCATAGGTCTCAATACTCTGCCCCCCTCACCTAAAACCTATCCATAATATACCGAACAGATGGGTTTTTTTGAGGTGGAATATCGTTGGTGTTCCTTCTCCCAGTCCCCCCTCCCCATTCTCCATTTTCCCTCTTTCCCCTTTCTCAGGCCCTTCCCCTCCTCCCTCCCCTCAGACTTTGTGTAAGTCATTACTGAATGATCCAACTTCCTTACTTCCTCTGTCACCCTCATTTTTCTCTCCCCCCCCCCCCTCTGTTCACTCGTTTGCAAAATTGCATCAGTGAGCAGAAGGTTATTAAGAATATATATTTTTTGATTTGAAGCTTTCGTGACTGCAGGGATTCATCTTCTTGGTTCTTTCGGTAAAGTCACGTAGAAGGGAAGTAATAAAATAATAAAAATAAAACATAATAAAATTATTCTCACGACGTTTTGGCCACAACGCAAGCAGCCGTCCTCAGGTGAAAACCAGGTCCGTCGAGGCGACAGAGTCTGAATGAAACAGCACACGAGCTTGGAGCATATATATAAGCTGGGCGCCTTGACAAAGGAATTTGCATATCAAGAGGAATTTAGCATATTTATGGGAAATGCAGGAATGTGATTAGTACTACATATGCATGTGCATTATGCAGGACACTCAAAGATAAGTGTGATTTGTAGAGTGTCTTGTCTAACTGATCTAGATCGGTGCGCGTAAGTCTGATTTTCTCTGAGATAAGAGCTAAGCTAGTTCTAGACAGAATTCGTTTAGCATTAGAAGTTACAGCAGCAGATGTTAGTGTAAATGCGTTTGGTATTACCTTAGAGTCGCGGCATCTCTTCAGAAAGGTGAGAGACTCGATTAGCTGAGCCTTCTTATCCCGGAGCTTGTTAATATATATTTTTAATGTTTATATATTTGGGGCACCGTGGTGGCAAGATGTTAACTCCATCACCCGGTAAGCAGGAGGTTATGGGTAAAATCCAGACCATGACACCTGCTGTTTATTTGGAGTTTGCATGTTATTCCCGTGGTCACGTGGATTTTTCTCTAGGTCCTCCGGTTTCCCCCCCCCACATTTAGAATTGCCATAACACATGAAGAGTATGTAGCTACTATACATTTCCACGTGATAAGACACTAAGTTTAGATATTATTTGTGGCCAGGTTGCTTCTGAAAAAAAGAGCTATGAAGCTCATTGGGCCTTACCTGGTAAAATTAAATTAGTAGTACATGTGTTCATTTGTTTTCTCCAAAAAAACGGAGGAAAATTGTTTTACAAATCATATCCCCCATTCCTAGTAAATTTTAGATGCACAGCCCTTAAAGACTCCTCATGTTTTTTTCTTCTTGGTTCTTTCGGTAAAGTCACGTAGAAAATAAAACATAATAAAATAATTTTCACGACATTTTGGCCACAACGCAAGCAGCCGTCCTCAGGTGAAGAACAGGTCTGTCGGAAAGACAGCGTCTGAATGAAACACCACGAGGCTTGGAGCGTATATTTAAGCTGGGTTGGAGGGTGAAGAGCGCCTTGACAAAATAATTTGCATATCAAGAGGGATTTAGCATATTTATGGAAATGCAAATATGGGATTAGTCACTACTTGTGAAATGCGTAGAAGGTGGACGGTGGGTTTCAAAGTCATATTATGCCCGTACATTATGCAGGCTTAGCAGCATCAAAGGGAGAGGATAGGGGTAGCATTAATAAAGGGAAGGAATGTTAATAGTATGTAGCTGCAGTAACTAAACCACCACGTAAAAAACTAAAGTATAAACTACACAGTATCATCAGTATACTAAATATAAACTCCAATAAGCTGAGCTGCTAACAGTAATACATTACAATTCTATGTCGCAAAAAAATAATATGCTTCCAGCTAAACTTTATCTCTTACATCACACGGGTCTACCCCGTACTATATACTGCTATAGACAAACCCAACATTTAATTATATACTGTATTACTATACACCACCCTATACCTTCGACTATACATTATAATATTACACTGTATTATTCTACCCACCCTACTGTATACCACACTGCTGTATATTCACTATACAATGTTGTGTTGTTGTGCTCGTCGGTATCTTCGGAATTGCTCTCCATTACCTGGCCTTACCTTTTCCTAGCCGGGATGTAATGAGAGAGCATATCGACGGGTGACAAAAGGCTGCATAGGCGTTGCCTCATCGGCGATAGCCAAACAGGGCTATGGGTTACATCTGGGCAGAAGTTCACGGGCGGAGCTCGGAAGGTTCTGGGGGGGGCGTGGTTAGAGGCGGGGCTTCGCTCTGCAGAGAGATATAAGGGGAGGCGAGAGGGGGACTCGGGGTTCGGTGTGGAAGCCTGGGTCCGGACTGCGTCTCCTCCGCCTTGTCAGCGACCGACTACGTGACAGCCTCGAAGACAGCGGGCGAGTGGTCTCCGACACCGCCACGGAGCGGGTTGCGGGGAACACGAGGGCGAGAAAAGCCACGCGCAGGCGGAGAAGCAGCGAGCATGTGCCGCGGGGTGGAAGAGAGAGAGACCATCTGGGAAGAGGGTGTGAAGCCGAGCAGTCGCAACTAATAAAGACGCAATTCACAACAAGTGGTAGATGTCGTTTATTACAAATGTACAAACCAACAGGGAGAAGGGTGTAAACCAACGAACCCATAACGACAAATGACAACCTATCAACAAGTAATATGAAAAACCACGTAAACCCTCGGGATCCCTCTTACCATCACACCTCCCACCTTCACTGTGTAACGATGCTCGTGAGCTCAATGGCGGCCAGGATCAACCAATGACACAGCGAGCACGATAAGCAACTGACAGTGAAAAACGAGTCTTTGAGCAAGTGCGTGATGCCGGGCCCCCAGGGGAGGTGGGCTCGCTCACCCTGGAGGTCCCAGGGGGAATCTGCAAATGTTCCACCAAACCCGGCTCCTCACGGAGAGCAGTAGGCCGGGTCGACGGATCCTCCGCGCTTGAAGCCCGCGAAGCCGACATGTGCGGCCGCGCAGGGGACGTCAGTGGCACAGCACCTGCGGGCGGAACAGAATCGCTTCGCCCGGGATTAACCGGCGTGGGTCGCCGGACACACTCGACACTCGGCCCCAGCAATGTGGAGATTAAACAAATACGCGCGGCGCAATAACCGGTTCCAGGCGAAAGGGATGATCTATATCCCGGGATCGTGGCGTGCAAGGCTCAGCACCCGCATTCCTGATGCCCCTTCGGGACGTGCCAGTGATGCATGAGCCAACACCGCAATCTCCTGGGTGACCGTGCTGTCCAACCCTGTTATTAAGAACCTAAAAGGTTCCTGGTAGTCGGACACCAATGTACGAGCTATAATAGCGTACCCCGTAGCACCCCAATCGAGCGGCTTCCTCTCGTGGAGGGGAACAAAATAAATATCTGCATCATAGCATTGGCCGCACACAACTGGGTAGGGGAAGACAAAAATGCCACACGACGTCCAGATGGCATTCCAAACAGCCGTGGTCAATGCAGATTTCCAATGGCATCCTACCAAGGAAATCGGTTCCAAGTAAACATGGAACAATCAGTGACGTGGAGACAAGAATGTGTCCTGATAATGTAACGTCAGCGATGCGCACCTCGGCTGTTATTCGACTGATGATACCCAATGAGGCGCCGTCAACGGCGAAACACGGCACATCGACAGGGTCTAGAACCCAACAATTAGGGGGCAAAATATTTAAAATTAGCTCCGAAATGACACACCCGTATCGACCAGCATCCTTATTTCTACACCCTCAATGGATCCAAGCACGGTAAATCAACCCGCGGACGCAGTCACCACTCAATGGGCCAGCTCCCACCACTGATCCGGTCGGAGCTGACGAACTTCACGATTGCATGTATTGATGCGCAATCGAGCTGCGAACCAAAATGCCTAGATGGGTGAGGTGAGGCCAGGGGTCAAGTGTGGAGTGTGTCGCTACTCACCTCAGGGTATAGGGAAGCATAGGATGGCGGTGACGCTGGAAGGCGGAACTCCGCCGTTGCTGGTGCATAGAATGCTAGCTCCTAGCGGCGGTCGCACCGCTGATGCGGCGACCGCTGATTGGAGCGGCCCGAAGTCGGAAGTGACGTCAGTCCCATGATGCATCTGTCTTCCAGCAGAAGCTACCCCACTTTCAGAGGGAGTTTCGTAAATTTGTGTGGGAACCCTGAAAATCGGCGGCGGCCACAGCCGCCACCTGCCACCCCAGTCCCCACGATGGATTTCATCCAAGATGGAAGCCGCGGCGTGCAGGAGTTCGGCGAGACAGGAGTGCGCCGCGCACAGCGCTCTCCCCGGTGGTGAAGTCCCGCCGGGTGGCCGGACAGGCAACGTATCGTCCAGCGAGGCTTCGTCTGCAACCGGGGCTAGTATGTCGGCAGCTGTGTCGTTTTCTCCTTCGCCCGGAGCCCTGGTACGTATCTTCCTCCGCGTTTCCATTGTCACTAATATAAGGCCACTTCTGACACCAGTTGTAATGGGTAATAAACTGGAGGGAACTTTCAGTTGAAGGCCACACGTTTATTACATTAATAACTCACGAACTACAATACAAAAGTGTAATGGCCCCTTTGACCCGATACTCTACGTAGCCGGTTCGCTTGCCTCTTCGGCTATCTCTACGGCTACCCTGCCGGGCCTTGAGTCTTCTCTGAGGTCTTCACTGGTTATAAGCTCAGAGCCTCACTGGTACAGCTCCAGCCTCACCCGAGCCAGGGGTTCGGCTTTGCCCACAGGACTCTTCTCTTCAGGGCTCAAGGTCGGTCTTTGATCTTCAGCCGGACGATACTGATTCGAGCCGTTCAGAGCCCTGACTTATATATAGGGTCCCGGCTCACTCCACCCCTGACTACGCCTCCCTTCCAGAACCTCATACCCCAGCCCCCTTCCGGGGGCCTGGGGTCCCAACCGTTGGTCCCAATGCTTCCCCCCCAGGGATTGCCATTGGCCAACTGCCCACCATTATTGTTGAGCCGATCCAGCCTCCCTTCTGCTCTCTACTGGACTGAGTTAGTACTGCCGGCTACGAGTAGTGGCGATCGTGGCCAACCCTGCCACTAAACATGCGTCGTGCCACAAACTGTGTTGTCCGCCAGACGACGCGCATTCATCTCAATCCCTGGGGGCTATATCTGGGGCACACGTCCATGGGAACAATGCCTCAGAGATGCTCCGCCTTTTCTCCCTCAGGGTTCCAGCTACTGAGGTCTGGGGAGCTGCCGACCTCGTTGCTGGGTTCGGCAGCGGACAAAATTCGTCGGGTCCTTCCTCTCCGGTTGGGCGGCCTCCTTCTTCGTCACCTGGAAACACCCACGGAGACCTCCCCCAACCTGGCGGGGGGCCTGGCGATGAGGACGCGCTCGAAAACTGCCCATTTCCAATAACTCTCGCCAGCACACCGCCGCGCCTTGCTGTGAAAATAGCTGAGACGAGTTTTTTTTGGGGGGGGGGGGGTTTAACAGCCGGATCGGTTGAAATTTATAAAGGGGGGGGGGTGGGTAGTGTAGAGACATAGATGCCTCTGCGGGTCGCACGACTCAAGGGCACGTGACCTGAAGCGGGGTCTCGATTGGACGAGTAAGGACATGTGGCCTTGAAACAGTAAGGGGCAGGGCCGGGGCCAAGGGATAAGGGAGGAACGTAAGGGCGATTCGGGGTTCGTTTTGGGGATCAAGCTAGCTAATAATAGTGAGCAGTCTAAACAAAGTTAGCCACACTTAGTAACAGAACCCAGTGTACAGTAAAGTTATTAATAATAGCGTTGACTCCAAGAAAGGTGTGTGTGCGCCTCAGTGACATACACTACACTTGTATATATTGTCTTGAAAAAGAATGAAAAAGACAAAACTGTAATTGTATGAAATTATGCTAATTATTGGATATATCCAATTACATGGAATTATTCAAATTAGGCCCCGCTTCGTTGTCTAGGGTGTATTACCAATCGTGATAATACAATGATTCTCGCTTTCACGTTCACTGATTATGTTTTAGTGTAATTTTGTCAGGTCTCAGAATTAAGATCTCACTGCATGAACTTAAGGAACCACTCAGACTCTTCTATGTTAAGCAACTTTAATGTCTAAAAACACTCTAGGATGCGAACACACTTACGATCGAAATTGTCAATACCACTCCTGAAGATGTCCTACTAATTGATTTGTACAATTAACCCTCAATAGTTACGTTTGTTAAAACTGAGTAACAGAACAATCAGCTAAGTCCTCAAAGTAGCGCAACCATACACTGTTAGAAAAAGTCCTTAACGTGCAAAAGATACATGTGCCCAATGGCAAAAGTCTACATCAATGAATTCATTGGTAAGATTATGCAATTAACGAAATGTCCTGAAACAACAGTGTGCGTGCTAGTTGTGTCTATTTGATTATAAATTGGCTAATGGGACATCGATTAATTCGTGGGCAAGATTCTATGATCAAAATAAAAAATCTCAACAATAGTATTCCTGTGTGTAAATTCGTAACATAGAAGCTTCTAAATGTTTAGTGTGTCATCAATGAATTCATTGGTAAGGTCATGTAGGTATAAACTAAAATAAACACGTTTTGGGCGCAACAAGCGTCTGTCATTAGGCGGGAAAGCCCAATGGCGAAAGTGTACATAAATTAATTCATTGGTAAGATTATGCAATTAACGAAATGTCCTGAAACAACACCTGATGACGGACACTTGTGTTGCGCCCGAAACGTCGTGCTTTATTTTATACCTAAATGACTTTACCAAAAGAACCAATAAGAGTATAGATTCCTGCAATCACGAAAGCTTAAAATCAAGATTCATTGGTAAGGTTATGCAATTAACGAAAACGAATGACTAAAATACTTTTAAACGACCGTATTCATGTAACCCAAGAAACAATGCTTTTCACGATCAGCTAATAGTTAACGCACCACCTTGGGAAGGCAACCCTTTTCGAAACACAAAGATAACTTTTTGTAACAATCTTATTAGTACCAATATGCGCGTTGTGTGTGGGTGTGTTGTCTTCTTGCTGACTGTTGAGTCAGCGGCTTGTGAGGTGCAGCGTTCCTTGTACCTACAAACATCTCAGGTCCCCAGCAGGGGCGCTGGGTTGGCGTGTGTCGAACACACGGCGCTCTCGGCTGCTTCGTCAGTCTCTCTCCACTGCTGGGGTGGTTGCCGAGTCGGCACGCTGGTCACTCTGTCGGCAGTGCCCGTGCTGGCAGGGATGTTGGGCCCGGCTCCGTCTGCGTCGATGTGCATGATGTTCCCATTGCCAGACACCGCTCGCAGCTCGTCCGCTGGTTGCCAAGCGCGTCACCCCTCTTGGCACCAGACACTGTTGATCCTTGTAGACTGTGGAGAGACAGCGCCTGTCATCTCCCCGCCCCCCCCCACCCCTCTTCAAGAGAGTCCTCTTCCAGTTGTCTGTACGACTCGTGCTCCAGAGAGGAAATGCTACAGATCAAGTTATATCGTGTCAGTCTCTGATCCGACCCTGCGATTTAAAGGCGACTTCAATGAATAGTGGTTGCACCAGTTTTCCCTCGAAGGGTTGACTTTGATCTGAGCACAATCGTAACGATTGTCACTGTATGATCGCATGTGTTGGCTATAAACAGTGACCTTGCCCCCGGGAATAGTAATGCGACAGCACTCTTCCCCACGTTTGTATTGTAATACTGCGAGTACCAGCCTTGGCTGGCAGCCTCTCTCAACAACGCAAACATAAAAAAAAACTCTCCGTGATTCTGCCGATGCAGAGCTCCCTATCAATCTTTCCAGTCACGAGGGCAATCCCCGGAGCCTGCAACTCGCAGTACTGATTTCTGTTCTTGCGTTCTTGCTTATATCTGAAATTTTCAACCTCTGGATCTTTCTTCTCACAAAGGGGCAGCTGTTTTCCTTTTGAAGTCGCTTCAGGCTGTTTGTTGTCCGGATGTCTTTATTACCGCCATGTTTCCGTTCATGTTTTGGACAGCGTTCTCCACGCTCCCATCACGGGTTGGAAGTGTTACATTTTTTTCGCCTCAACACGTGCAGTCTCTCTCAAAAAGGGATGCTGTGGCCTTTGAAGTCGTGACCTATTGTGCATGGGTGTGCTTGCTGTCACCATGTTTTCCGTCCTCTCATCACTTTATGCAGTTTTGACTCTGCAAGAGACTCAAAAGTATGTTTTGAGTAGCATCCACAGCACTCACATCGCGGTTTGGAATTCTTGCGTGGTATTTGATGTTAGGGCAAGGCGCCCCCTGCATACATAATTTATTGCTACCATGTGCTGTATTAGCTAGTGGAAGACAAAGACGGTTGGGCAGGCTCTGATCCCGTGGAATACATATTATCTTGTTCGTGTGTGATTGACATATTTCACATTGCATCTCATCTGAATGACCCTAGGTCTAATACTTTCATAATTATTTGGTTCATGCTTAACCAAAATTTGTGGTATACCATAGTTGTTACCAAGAATATTCCGAGGGTTTTATTAACCTTTGTTCCCTGTCTGTATCGCCAGGGATCCGTGCTTCTTATTCTCAAGTTATATTTTGATATTCTGAGGTTGAAGATAGAGCTAAGCTTCCAACTTTACTGTTGTATTTTTAAAAAACCCAGTCAGCTCATAATGATGAATTGCCCTTGGGTGGATTTCACTGTCCGGGGAGGTTTGTGACCCCCGCTGTTTCCGTCTTGTTGGTTTTATTGTGGGTTGTTTCCTTTATGGCAGTTTCTCTTGAAGTCAACTGGGGATTTCCCACAGAATCTCATTAACCTCCACTTGGGTTTGCCAGTTTTTTTAAATTAAATTTTACGACTTCCCAAGCAGGCTTGCGAGTAATTATCCTCCAGCTGTCTTTTGTGTGGCAAAGTAGTAGCCCCAGCGCTGCATCCCGATAAAAATCATAAAAAAAGGGCAGAATCACTATTAATATACATTTTTGGAAAAGGCATGTATACAACATGTTCTTTGAGTGTTTGTGATGAGGTTTTATACAAAACTCCGAGTTGCTGCGGCAATTAGGAAAGCACCATACAAATGCTAATATTATTATAACATAGTGAATGATTTGGAGCCGATTGGCTCTCACTCCTGGTTAGAGATCTACCCAACCCACAGGTCCGCAAATACTGGCTGCTCTTACTCTGCAGGTTGAACCTAGGAATTGAGTGTTCAACTTCATGTTATTTTCATTAAAGGCCCGTGACAAAGGTGAATATATTGGAGCTTCATAATCAACTTTTTGGGTTTAGATCGCGTTATTTATAAATGTGTCGTAACCCTCCACCACCCGACACGGCCGATCAGTAAAAATGTGTCACGTTGACAAAGACAAATAGTTCACTGCTTTAGCCCACCGGTGTGTTGAAGCTGGTAATTGCAATTACCAGTGAAACGTCGTACTCAAATTGTAAATGTTGTGGCTTCAACACACCGGTGGGCCAAAGCAGTGAACTATTTGTCTTTGTCAACGTGACACATTTTTACTGATTGGCCGTGTCGGGTGGTGGAAGGTTACGACACATTTATAAATATTGGAGCTTCATTCTCTCAATCTAACACATCTTCCGGGTGGGTCTCCATTTGACTTTGTATTGTCTAAAAAGTCCACCCACACCTCCACTTCCACAAACTGCTGGGAGTTGCCTTGCTCTGCCTCACAGTCAAAATTCTCCTCCTGCTTCACGTTGCCTCCATCAGTGTGAAGGTCCGATTTTGGAGTTGAATCTTCATATTCACATTTTACCTTCACTTCTTCTCTCTTCACTGTTGCCTCTTCACATTTCACATTAACCTCTTCACATTTCACGTTGATACCTTTTAAAGTGTCCAAGCTGGGATTTCCTTCTGGTTCTTGTTTCAGAAGGGATTGTTTCATTGCAGCACTTTGACTTTCACAAGTCGATTTCAGACCACACTCCTTGGGGTTCTTCTGATGCCTGTGTGTTCTCTGGTGTCTATGAAGATGTGATGACTGTGAAAACGCCTTCCCGCACAGAGTGCACTTGAAGGGTTTCTCTCCCGTGTGTGTTCTCTGATGGCTCTGAAAAACTGATGACCATGCAAATGCCTTGTCACACACAGTGCACTGGAATGGTTTCTCTCCTGTGTGTGTTCTCTGGTGGCTCTGAAGAACTGATGACCGTGCAAATACCTTCTTACACACAGTACACTTGAAGGGTTCCTCTCCTGTATGTTTTCTCTGGTGCTTGTGCAGAATTGATGACCGTGAAAACACCTTCCCGCACACAGTGCACTTGAAGGGTTTTTCTCCTGTGTGTGTTCTCTTGTGTATTTTAAGATATGACGACTCTGTAAATGCCTTCTCACACACACTGCACTTGAAGGGTTTCTCTCCTGTGTGCGTTCTCTGGTGTTTTTTAAGATATGATGACACTGTAAATGCCTTCTCACACACAGTGCACTTGAAAGGTTTCTCTCCTCTGTGTGTTCTCTGGTGTTTTTTAAGATTTGATGACACTGCAAATGCCTTCTCACACACACTGCATTTGAAGGGTTTCTCTCCCGTGTGTGTTCTCTGGTGGCTCCGAAGATCTTTTGACTGTGCAAATGCCTTCCCGCACAGAGGGCACCTGAAGGGTTTCTCTCCCGTGTGTGTTCTCTGGTGGCTCTGAAGATCTGATGACTTTGCAAACGCATTCCCGCACACAGTGCACTTGAAGGGTTTCTCCCCTGTGTGAGTTCTCTGGTGCTGTGTCAAATTTCCAGTACGATCCGTGCTGCTTGCATTATGGTCGCATTTTTTCCTTCTTGCACCGAGCTGCGCTGAGTGCCTTTGCTCCATCAGATCAATTCTGCAGAGGAAGCGTCAGCTGCAGACACAAAAACATATCCACACCATCTACATCAGTATCGAGGCAAAGAGAAATGAATATATACACAGTCACACATGACTTACACGTCTATACTTATTCAAATATTTATGATACAGTGAAAAGAATTCCCCAATTTATCACACGGGCTGTTAAGGCACACAATGAGAGGGTAAATGGTCATAAATATGTCTGGATGCCCTAGTATCTTCAAAATGAATGTTTACCCAAAACTCCAAGCACATAATTTCGGCTGTCTAGCTACACAAGTATTTACTTAAGACAAATTCAGATTACAGAGCAAAACGTGTAAAAAAATATATTATTTGTATTACGCAGAAATGCATAAATTAATGTTGAATCGAAACTTCGAGGAGTGTGAAACCAGGCTCAGATTTGCTTGAATGCTCGGATGAACACATCTAACTTCAGGTGCATATGTGCTGAGATATTTTCCTGACTGTTTCCATTCTTATAAAAAGTTCCAGAGGAAAACTAAAATAAACTATTGTTTTGATTTAACCTCCATGTTCAATAATTAATATGCATTACTGAAAATACAAACTTGACACTGTCACACACTGGCATGGTAAAAAGGTGGTGGTGTGTCCAGAACCATGCCTGGCCACCTTCATCTGGCTCAGTAATAATGCTTCCTCACTTCACCATGTAATTAATTTAAGATCAATCAACATAGCAGAGGCCCACAATAAGTTCAGCTTTCACTTAAACGATGTAACACGATTTTTATTCCTAGGTAGCAAGTGTTATGCCTAAAAAGTTTAGAAAATGGCTATTATTCCCCACAAACTTTGCTTTTGTGATTAGGACTTTACGTGAAGGAATGACACAAATGCACACGTTTTTCATTGAAAATAGGTAAATAGCTAAATATCACTGTCCTAGTCACAAAAGCAAAGTTTGTGGGGAATAATAGCCATTTTATATACTTTTCAGACATAAGCAATTAGGAAATAACACTTACTTCCCAGGAACAAAAAAAATGTGTTACAGTGTTATTAATGGAGTGGATTATTAACTTTGCTTTTGTATCCTGGTCACAAAAGCAAAGTTTGTGGGGAATAATAGCCATTTTCTGTACTTTTGAGGCATAAGCAATTAGAAAAAAACACTTACTACCAAGGGACAAATGTATTTTTTTGTTACACATCGTGTTTGCCGTCGGCGATAATCAAACTAATTGTTGAGTTCACTGCGCTCCAGCTCCCCACAAAGATAAACTCTTAAACACGAATACATTTCACATATATCATTAACATATTATATAAACAAATCATCCACCATTCATGACGAATTGGAAGTTACCTTATCACAGTGCTAATGCCATGATAGGTGCAATTTAAGGCCATGTAAGTATGGATTCCTTGTCAGGAGATAATAGGAATGATCCAGGTGTCAAGGGATGACTGACAGGTGAACCAGCTGTGCTCCCCTCCGTCTTGCTGGGTTTTAGAAACCCAGCATTCCACCCATTCATTTGTCACTCCGACCTCATCGTTGTTGTAGAGAAAATATATCGTAACTGCCCTGCAGCATACCTCAGGGGCCTCCCCACAGAGGCCAATATTGACACAACTGATACCAGTCATTGGCGGTTCCGATCACCTCCACATCCTCCAATCTCTTCTCTAGCCAATGCCATGCCTGTTTAGCTCTTAATATCTGGACAAACAGAATCTGCTTGAGCACGCGGTAACTGGGAATGCGGGATTCATGACCGCACCAATGCAGCCTCGCCTGTCAAAGAGACTCAAGATTTTATTATATATTTATATATTAAGGATCTGTAAGATTAATACAAAATAGTCTGGTTGAATTAAAAATGAATCATAGGCAGACCAGCCTTCATTGTAAAAGCCAGCACAGATGGTCATTTAAATAAGTTCATATTTTGCATTCACAGCGTAATATCTGTGGCCAAGAAGAATCACAGCTTTGTTCGTTCGTTTCTAAAAAGTCTTGTCCTGGTGAGTCGAGTGGTCCAGGCCTCCCTTTCCCTGGCGACAGACTCTCGCTCAACCTGGGGAATTCCAAAGCGTTCCCAGGCCAGCCAAGCAACATAGTCCCACCAGCATGTCATGGGCCAGCCCTGGGGTCTTCACCCAGTGGGACGTGTCTGGTAGAGTTCCAGGGGGAGTCTATTGGGGTGCATCCTTACATATCTATATATATAAAATCGTGCATGTCTGTCTGTCCGTCTGTGTGTGTGTGTGTGGATTTCGGACCATACGCACTTTCATTGGACGGCGGTTGCCCCTGGCAACGGCTAGCCACGCCTTCGCCGCTTTCATTGGACCTGCCAACGGCTAGCGACGCCTTCGCCAAGGGCTGCAGTTTCATTGGACGGCGGTTGCCCCTGCCAACGGCTAGCCACGCCTTCGCCACTTTCATAAGCTCCGTATTTAATTAAATAATAGCCATTACACAGTATTGTTGGAGCGCTAGGGGGGGGGGGGGAAGGAACGCCACCCGTACCCTGCCTCTTCCAAGCCGACAATTTTAGGCGAGGCCGCAGGCTTTGCACGCTACTAGGCCTCGACACCCACCACGCCACTCTGAGGTAAATTCATCAAAGTTTTTCCTACTCTTCACTACACCCCCACCACAATGTGTGCTATTAATATTACTTTTAAACCCAACGCGCCAACAATCGATTACTTTAATGTTTACTGTACAAATACTCATTAAGCTGGGTGAGCGTACTGCCAGTCTATCATGTACACTGTAGCCTGCTTATTAAGCTCGGTGAGCGTACTGCCACTCTATCATGTACACTCTAGCCTGCTTATGAAGCTGAGTGCGTGTACTGGCAGTCTATAATGTGGACTCTTGCCTGGTTATTATAATCGATTCTTTATATGTTCTTTGTACAAACAGTCATTAAGCTGCTTGAGCGACCCCAGTTCGATTCCAACTCACGCCCACCACCGCTGACGATTATTTGAAACGGACCTGGCCCTCCCCTAGGTCCACTCAGCCTCAAACGCGTAACTGCTGTCGTGTGTGAACATCGTCACTGGGGAGACAAAGGCGGCCAGGCATCGTGGATCCAAGTCCCGGGCGAAGCCGGGTCATGTGTATGTGTGTTTGTGTTTATGTGTATGTCTGTGTGTCTCTATGTATGTGTGTATGTATGTGTATGTATGTGTTTGTGTGTATGTGTGTGTGTATGTATGTGGGTTTTTTTGTATGTCTTTATGTGTATGTCTGCGTGTCTCTATGTTTGTGTGTATGTACGTGTGTGCATGTGTTTGTGTGTATGTGTGTGTCTATGTATGTGTGTGTATGTGTTTCTGTGTATGTATGTGTGTGTATGTATGTGTGTTATGTGTCTGTCTGTGTGTCTGCATGTATGTGTGTGTGTATTGTGTATGTGTTTGTGTGCATGTATGTGTGTGTTTGTGTGTGTGTGTATGTCTGTGTGTATGTATGTGTGTGTATGTGTTTGTGTGTATGTGTGTGTATGTATGTGTGTGTATGTGTTTGTATGTGTTTGTGTGTTTACGCTCGCATTACACAAATGTGTTGCTGGTCTAAGGCGTTCCTCGCACAGCATTGCCGCTTTATTATTTCAGTCGTTTACTGCCTTACGCACCCTGAAAGTCGTGTGTGTCTGCAGCAAGCGCGTGTATGTGTACCTATGGACGCGCGCGCGCGTGTGTTGTGTAGGGGGAACGGTAGTGTAGTGCTTAGCGTGCTGTCTGTGTCTGTGTGTGTGTCTGTGTGTGTGTCTGTGTGTGTGTCTGTGTGTGTGCGTGTGTGGTGTGTGGGGAGCGGTAGTGTAGCGCTTAGCGTGCTGTCTGTGTGTCTGTGTGTGTGTCTGTCTGTGTCTGTCTGTGTGTGTCTGCGTGTGTCTGTGTGTGTGTCTGTGCGTGTGTGGTGTGTGAGGAGCGGTGGGTGTAGTGCTTAACGCTACGCTGCGCTACCAACCCGGCGAACCGAGTTCGATTCCCGCTCACGGCCACCACCGGTGACGATTATTTGAACCTCCCCTAGGTCGACTCAGCCTCAAACGAGTAACTGGTGTGGCGTATTAACATCGACACTTGGGAGACAAAGGCGGCCGGGCGTGGTGGATCCAAGTCCCGGGCGAAGCCGGGTCATGTGTATGTGTTTATGTGTATGTCTGTGTGTCTGTATGCATGTGTGTATGTATGTGGGTTTTTTTGTATGTGTTTATGTCTATGTCTGTGTGTCTGTATGTGTGTATGTACGTGTGTGTATGTGTTTGTGTGTATGTATGTGTGTGTGTATGTATGTGTGTATGTGTTTCTGTGTATGTATGTGTGTGTATGTATGTGTGTTATGTGTGTCTCTGTGTGTCTGCATGTATGTCTGTGTGTATTGTGTATGTGTTTGTGTGTATGTATGTGTGTGTTTGTGTGTATGTATGTGTGTGTATGTGTGTGTATGTGTTTGTGTGTATGTGTGTGTATGTATGTGTTTGTATGTGTTTGTGTGTTTACGCTCGCATTACACAAATGTGTTGCAGGTCTAAGGCGTTCCTCGCGCAGCATTGCCGCTTTATTTTTGCAGTCGTTTACTGCCGTGCGCACCCTGAAAGTCGTGTGTGTCTGCAGCAAGCGCGTGTATGTGTTCCTATGGACGCGCGCGCGTGTGTTGTGTAGGGGGAACGGTAGTGTAGTGCTTAGCGTGTTGTCTGTGTCTGTGTGTGTGTGTCTGTGTGTGTGTCTGTGTGTGTGCGTGTGTGGTGTGTGGGGAGCGATAGTGTAGTGCTTAGCGTGCTGTCTGTGTGTCTGTGTGTGTGTGTGTCTGTCTGTGTCTGTCTGTGTGTGTCTGCGTGTGTCTATGTGTGTGTCTTTGTGTGTGTCTGTGCGTGTGTGGTGTGTGAGGAGCGGTGGGTGTAGTGCTTAACGCTACGCTGCGCTACCAACCCGGCGAACAGAGTTCGATTCCCGCTCACGGCCACCACCGGTGACGATTATTTGAACCTCCCCTAGGTCGACTCAGCCTCAAAC